ACGCAGCCAGCCAGCCAGTCCAAGATGGCGTCCAAACCCTGAAATCATCTGGCATCGCGGAAAACCCGCGGGAATGACCCGATTAGTATGCGTTCTCCTATCGTCGAACGCAATAAAGTACTTGCTAACCTACAATGTGTGTGTGGCTTGCTTCAGCCGTGCTGGGGAATTTTCGCCCTGTGTTGTTCTGAATGGGGTTCGCTGTGCTCGGTTCGTACTGACAGGACCTCAGGCAATGTTCGTCAGTACGGCCCTCGCACTAGGTTATTAAGAGGTGAATACTGAAAATAATTTTTAGGCTATCCCATAGGCCCTCCACATTATATTTACAAATGCTGCGTTACATTGTTTTGTAGGAACAAAGAAGATTTTTTTTTAATTACTTTGGTTCTTATTTTCAAAGGCTCCTTTGTTCAACGCAGGCCACCTTTATCAATGGAACACAATCAGTTGCCATTTCCTGCATGCAGTCAGACTCCAGTTGAAACTTCTCAGACACAAAGTCATCATCCTCGGAGTGAGTAGGAAATTTTTTAATATGTAGCCAAAACAAATAACGACTTCAAACAGGTCTATGTAGTTATAGCTACTCACCTCACTGCATAACTGAGATTCTGATTGATAGAAAAGAAATATCTTGTCAATATCTTGTAATCCATTGGACCAATTTTTAACAGTGTCGATGTAGAGCAGTGTTGTTCCCAGACAGAATTCAAGAGCTTTGTAAACAAAAAGGTTTGAAGTTATGTCACTTCTCCTCTTTAGGTTTACACACCTTACATGGATATTCGAGCGAAGTCACACTCTTAAGTCCTGTCCAGACGGGAGAAGTTTGGCGGCCAAACACGATCACACATTTTTTGTTGACCAAGCCTGTTGATGACGTACTGAGTGGGCAATCGGTTGTTTGAATGAACAAAATGTTTTACAATGTTTGATCAAGGGTGCTTACCATTTACAAAAACCATCCGGTTGGAAATTTCAGGCACAAACATTAAACAACTAAATCCGACGTTGCGGGCGGGGGAATCGCTATAAAGTATATCCACATCATCTAGAGAGACTTAAAAGAGCAGAAAAATAGCATCACCTCAAATCACAGCTCATATTTTCTGAAGCTTCCCAAATGGAATGGCACGAACCATTTGATTTTCCAACTGGAATTTCCGGTTTTCCCATGTAAATGGTAAGTACCCCAAATGTTTGACGTCGTTCAAATTCTATCAAACTCGATCAAACAAGGTGTCCAAACGGAAAAAGGTTTGGTCAACAAACAATGTTTGATCGTGTTTGATCGCCAAACATTTCCCATTTTGGCCGAGCTTCCTATACATGTGTACATATCCTTCACAGCGTCGCTTCTCAAGTCTACTTTGGGAAAGCAAAAATGCGTTCCATGATTGTTTGTCAACGAATCCAATCGAGCGAATAATATGAATGAAAAAAAAGCAACTTAAACGTTCTTCAGTGAAATGTACGCGTGTTGACGGTGGCTCACACGCATGCCCACTGCTGCTCTGTTATTTGGTCGTCTTATGCTGTGGAACGTAAAATGAAGTTAAAGATAAACGAAAAGATTTAACCTTTATTTCGAGAGACTGATACTTAGAGGAATAATTCTGACTCCAGCAGCAGCTAAGGCGCTCGGTCGGTCACTTCCTGAAATGTCGTCACTACAAAAACTCGTGTTAACTGGTGTGGATGGAAGCATTTTACAAACTGAGGAAATGGAGGCGCTGTTTGGCGGATTTAACAAAGCAATTCCTTTGTTCGCGTTAACTTTCTGTGGTTTCAGCGTGAGAGGTTGTCTTTCTCCACTCATCAAAAGACTCCCCTTCTTCCCCAATTTGAGAAAGTTAAAGCTTGAAAGGTTAAACATTGATGAACATGACCAGTGTAGTCTGTTGAAGAGCTTTAGATTCCTGACGGAACTTGAGGTGCACATACGTGGAGAGACATGTCTTGATTCCTTTCATTACTGCACATCAATGGATGAAAAGATACTGAAGCTGGGTGTAGTAAGTCTGACTCCAGCAGTAGCCGCAATGCTGGGACGTTTACTTCCTGAATTGTCGTCCCTAAAAAAACTCGGATTATTTGGTACGTGTGGAAGCATTTTGGAAGCTGAGGAAATGGAAACGCTCTTTGGCGGATTTAACAAAACACTGCCTTTGCGCACACTGGTTTGCGGTGGTTTTAGCGCGAGAGGTCGTCTTGCTCCACTCTTTAGAAGCTTTCGCTTGTTTCCCAATTTGGTAATCTTGGGGCTTATAAAGTTAAACATGGATGACCATGACTTAAGTGGTTTGTTGGAGATTTTTCAGTTCATTCCTAATCTGCAAACACTTTTCCTATCCGACCATCCTCTCGGTCGTGCCGTAACATCTATCGTGCCACACGTGATCAACTTGAAGAAGCTTCAGTATCTTTTCATTGACAACACTAGTCATTCTGAGGAAGATTTGAATTATGTTCGAGACATCGTCCAGCAAGCACTACCTGAACTAGTAGTAGTCGTCAAGGACATCAGCGATGGCGAACTCCYACTCATCATGGACATCACCGAAGATGATGACGGCGATGATGATGACGATGATAACGACGATGATGACGACGATGATAACGACGATGATGACGACGATAATGACGACGATGATAACGACGATGATGACGACGATGACGACGATGACGACGATGATGACGATGACCAGCATTTTTAGAACGGTGTAATCCGATTTGATTTGACTTTTTTCCTTTGTGATCCTAGACCACCCCCATGGGATAATTTTCATAGCAGCTTATCTAAATTTTAATTTTAGCTAAAAGCAAGAAGCGGCTTTTATTACCAAACTTAAGCTACTTTCGTCTCTCGTAAAAAGGCGAGGAATCTAGATTCCTCCCAGAAACAGGTGTTTTCGTAGTGTGGCAAAGTCTCAGCTGATATATCGCGACAATAAGATTTACACTACTGAAACGATAGGTTTATCCGCTGGGAGCAGTATTTCAGTTGAACGGACACTTGAACTGCACTGAGCGGGGAACTTCTCTAAATTCGGGAAAAATGGACTCGGAAAATGACCACGGCTTGTGGAAATGCATGAGGCGTGATTACCGCCAAAATTAAGCTTGGAATTTTATTATGCTGTTTGCCAATGCGGTTTTTAATGTTTTCACTGGTGTTTTTAATGTTACGAATTGTGTTTAACCTGTTCTCAATTATGGTCGCCGAGACGCCGCTGTTGTTTTAATGTGTTGCTCCTGTATTCGATTATTCGTTGCGAATTATGTTTGTGTTATGCGAACTTCGATTCTATTAATCGTGTTCCGAATTACGTTCTCCTAAATCCGGGTCTTCAGAGAGCTCGACCGCTATGGTCTGGCGCGAGTGATAAATTAATTATGCTTATTCTTCATATTCAGCGTAATAATATTGTCCCAACGAACGCTCACAACTGTGTTATACAGAGTTTCAACACGATAAAAAACTGAATCCTGGTTATCAGAATCCAAGTTTGGCCAGGCAAGTTGTTGTAAAATCGCATTTATCCGTGCTCGAAGACGATTCCTCACAACTTCCGCCAACGACAGTCGCATTAATTTTCTTTCCGCGGGAAGAACATGCATAACTAAATTATCATGCACTCGCGCCAGACCATAGCGGTCGAGCTCTCTGAAGACCCGGATTTAGGAGAACATAATTCGGAACACGAATAATAAAATCGAAGTTCGCATAACACCATACGGAACGACACAAACATAATTCGCAGCGAATAATCGAATACGTTTTGGCGAACATAATTGAGAACAGGTTAAACACAATTCGTAACATCAAAAACACCATTGAAAACATCAAAAACCGCACTGGCAAACAACAAAGACATAATGAAATTCCAAACTTTTGGCGGTAATCGCCCCTCATAGAAATGATCTACTTCACTAGAGGCTTCTACAGACGTCAAGGATGAGAAAGGACACGGTTCCAACAGTAGCTAACAGTAGTTTATTCAAACTTCGTGTACAGTCGTCAGTGTAATCATGGCAATATGAAATCGACGAATAATTGTAGAAGGACAACTCAAGCAAAACAAAGTTCAGTTTGAATAAAGTGAGAGCGGAGGAAACAAAGCTCTCAATGTGTTGTCAAACTGAAACTAATTCTGTTGGTTTTTGAAAAAAAGGGTTTTAAAATGCTAATCATGGAACAATGACTGAGACCACATCCACACTACGCCGGAGAAATTCCGTCCACACTAAACTGTCACGAAAATACCCTGCGAGTAGTTGGNGTGAGAGGTTGTCTTTCTCCACTCATCAAAAGTCTTCAGTTCTTCTCCAGTTTGAAAGAGTTAAGGCTGGAACACTTAGCTATCGAGGAACATGACCAGTGTGGTCTGTTGAAGAGCTTTGGATTCATTCGTAATCTGACGAAACCAGGAGTACTCGTTAGTGGAGAGGAATGTCTGGATTCCTTTCATGACCACCGATCAGGATTAACAACTGTAGTTAGTCACGCACACGGCGAGGTTGGCCTGTATGGAATAAAACTGACACCAGCAGTATTTGCAGGGCTCGGACAGTTACTTTGTGAAATGTTGTTCTTACAAGACCTGCGCTTAACGGGGCTGGACGGAAGTATTTTGGGAGCTGAGGAAATGGCAGCGCTGTTTGGCGGATTTAGCAAAGCAATTCTTTTGTACAGGCTTTTTTTCAGTGGTTTTAGCGTAAGAGGTTCTCTTGCTCCACTCAACAAGAGCTTTCGCTTCTTTCCCAAATTGAAAGAGTTACACCTGTGTGCGTTAAACATGGATGAACATGACTTAC